ACACATATACACACGTACACGCACAGAGACGCAGACATGCGCGCATACACATACATACATACACATCCTACACACATACACACACGCAAACGCACAGAGAAGCCTCGTGCACACACACACATGCATGCACAACCTACACACATACACAAACTCAAACACACACTTACACATACTATACACATACACACACATACACCTGTACGTGCGCACAAAGAGATTCACATACATATGACCTCTTGCAGGCACACACACACACACACACACACACACACACACACACACACACACACACACACACACACACACACACACACACACACACACACACACACACACACACACACACACACACAGATGCGCATATACACACACAAACACGTACACCTCCTGCACACACACACACAAACCCAGATGCGCATATACACACACAAACACGTACACCTGCACACACACACACACACACACACACACCGCACGCACGCACGCACGCACGCACGCACACATACATATACCTCTCGCACGCACACATACACACATAATCCACACAAACACGCACACACACACACATGCACACACCTCCTGGACACACTCATTCACGCGCACACAAACACACTTCCCCTACATACACACACATACTCACACAGACACACACTCATGCGCGAGCACACACACACTGTATACTTCCTTTCAAGAGAAACAAACACAAGCCAGCCATTATCAATGACACAAACACTAGCACAAACCATCTTAGTGTCAGGCTTCAAAGGCCTACTCAACATGATACCCTTAAACCATGAAGCCTATAAAAAAGCCTTAAGTTGTTACATCAATCGATTATGAGACAAATAAGTTTGATTTCATCGATTTGTTTATAACATGCTCGAAGGATGTGTGTTTATCTCAATAGGGGAGTTGATGACAGCACAAAGCCACATTACACCAATCTACTTGCGTTCCGAGTCACTGATTGTCCAATCAATGTTCTCGGAAGGCATTTGAAAGAGTCTATTACATATTAATTTTTCTCGGGCTTTGTCCCTGTTCTCACGGCCGACGCTATAAGCATCTTACAGAGGGCCCACGCAGCTTGTGATTTGGTTTGATACTGCAACGTCTTTGCGACAAAATGTATTTTTTCTCACAATACCTTCCACTTGTCTGATGTTTGGCCGGTGTCTGGGACGCTTACTAGATACATAGTCACTGTCAATGTGCTTGAGATAATTCACTTCCACGTCTACAGTAAGGGATCGAACATGCAGTATATGTAGAGACATGGTCTTTACCAGTGGAGTCGTCACGGAGGCGTTCTTTGATGCGAATTACTCCTTTAAAGTATTTCCCTCTGTTCATTGCGAAGGTCGTGGTGTACACATATAAGCTATGCTGGTTAATTTGAATTTGATTTACATGTGATACAAGCGACATATTCTTTCCAAATCATTAGAATTATCTACTGCTGTCTCAGTCAAAAATCCCGACCGCGTCATACCAAAAGATGTTAATAGTTGGTACTTGTTGTTACCCTGTCTGGCGCTCGGCATTAAGGGGCTAAAACAAGGACTGGTTGGCTCGGAGTCAGTATACTGTGTCTGAGTGGGATATTCATGTTAAACTGCGGCATGGTATCTCAGTGAGCTAGCACTATAAATCGGCATCAGTCCGGACTAGTACAAGCAGCCACACACACACACACGTGCATGCACGTCGCTATATGAGTGCAATAATCTTGGACGCGACGTTAAACCCCATTTCACCTCACCTCACCTCAGTCAAAAATAGGAATTGGAAGGGACATCATTTTCGTCAGTGATGTGTCAAATATGGAAATACCCTCCATATGTATCCCATGACACGGACCCGTGAAGATCCAGGTCCGTGAAGATCCGGGTCCGTGAAGATCCGGATCCGTGAAGATCCAGGTCCGTGAAAATCCGGATCCGTGAAGATCCGGGTCCGTGAAGTACGTACGTTTATGTAGCTTCTGATAAATGTATAAAAGAGGATGGATAGGGTCAGGTCAAAAGTTGATGGAACTGACGCCTTGTTTTGGCAGATTTCATCCTCAGTTGACATACTGGCCATATGTAGGATAGCTCTTTGATCAAACAATTAATGTAGTGATACGAAATGATTGTACACTATGCCGTCCGTGCTTCTATAGAGAGTGTTAACATTACCATGTCCACTAGGCGTGCCAATATAAATATTCCGTGATGTTTATAATATAATGCCACATTTACGAGAAAACGTTTGTAGAATCACTTTTCAGAACCATTTAGGTATCACTGTTTCAGATACATTTTAGTAACATTTATCTTGACGTTGTCAAAAATTGATGGAACTGACGCCTTGTTTGGGCAAATTTCATCCTCAGTTGACATACTGGCCATATGTAGGATAGTTCTTTGATCAAACAATTAATGTAGTGATGCATATGTATAATGGTTATATTATTCGAGGTCTTGTCAGTGCAATTAACAACAAAGCGTTCAGGCAGGGCAGTCAGGCTTCGGATGACATGGACGAAATGAGTTTATGTACTGAATTAAACATGTCGAAGAGATATTTGGTTTCATTTGATTTCATACCAACTATAAAACAAAACATTTTGTGATATGTGTTCAATTAAATGTGCTTAAATATACTTGTAGTTTTTAACGTAAAATCATCTTCCAGAACGATATTTTGTATAAGCGACAAACGTCTTTCCATAATGGTAAGGATTCTCTTCCAGACATAAAGGCGATTATACTGTTCCTACTATATCATAAGCATGTGATTATGAATCACTATTAACTAGTGATGAAACTGGAGTTGATTATTAATATTATGCTTGAGACATCATATTTTCATGAAGACTTTCAGTGCTTTTTGTAAACAAGGATCCGTATAAGATACGGATAACTATTGTTGTATAAAGCAGTTTTAGCAAAGTATTCATATATGTATCAATAGCAAAAGATTGGTGTTCTTGGTTAATGCTTTTGCGGGAGGTACGATCGGGATTCAGGTAAAGCTATTCGACAAGTGATAAATTATTTATGTTGCAAACAATAAAGTACTCAGCAAAGAAGGGATGTAAATGTTATGCGTTTTTATAGATTTGTGTAAAGCCATTAATTCTGTTTGCAGAAACATATAATTATTATAACTTTTGAAAACACGTTAATATCCAGTATGTGTGCGAAATGCCGACATTGTATTTAACACATTTGAAATCAATATTGGTGTTATACAAGGAGTCATTTTAAGTCCATATTTGTTCTCATCCTGCGGTAAAAGGGAATATAATGTTCAGGACTGCGTATGTAATATGGACACGTCATTATGAGCTGATATTCACCTTCTATTTGGAAGTATTTACATTTTTAGAAAATGTTTTACAGCGACCAAAATTTTGGTTCATACGCACAATGTTCTTGATGAAATGAATTTGTATTGATTAAATCATGCCAGTTTCAAATAGGCGTGAACGATTTGAACAATTTTCGTGTCAAATATGCTGGCTGTTAGTTTTAATGGAATTGTGAGATGATTGTACACTATGCCGTCCGTGCTTGTATAGAGAGTGTTATCATTATCATGTCCACTAGGCTGGCCTATATATAAATTCTGTGATGTTTACAATAAAATGCCACATTTACGGGAAAACATTTGTAGAATCACTGTACAGAACCATTTAGGTATCACTATTTCAGATACATTTTAGTAACATTTATCTTGACGTTGTCCAATAAAGTTCTGACTGATCCACCTTTCTGTGTGTATCAATGACAATGGCATCGATGAGTATTGCATCATCTGCTAACAACCACATGCAAAGGTAGGTCAATTTCACATGAAAAAAAACAACAACGAAAAATAAGTTTTTCCTTCTTTTTTTGAGAATCTGTTTAACCACTTAAGGTATCGCTATAGGCATTTAACTTCGATTGATGCATACGGCGTTGCCTCTTTGCTCAGAATATGTGAAATCAATTTTGATAAAAGCCGTTTTATGGTTAGACATTTGCTGGGTGCGGCGTTGAACAACAAACAAACATACCCAGCGTAACTGTTCGCCTCCAAAATAAAGTTCAGGTTATAAAATCAATAAATCAATTCATATTTATTGATCATTTTGTCACCGGTAATTATGCAGAAAAGAAAATGTCAATCATTCTGACGCGGCAACTTTAGTTGATGTCTGTCTTTGTTGATGTTTCAAACTGTTAATATTATATCCAGGTGAGCTACAGTACCGTAGCAATATTACAATTACACAACCGTGGTTGCTACAAACAAACCCTTCTTATATTTCTACTGAACTGCACTTGGTACTAATTGATATTCCATAACAAAAATCACTAACGTTCCTTACTGGTATTTGTTTTTATGAATGTTTGCTTGAAACAGCAATGCACAATGATATTAAGTCTGCTTCTTGATTAAGTATTTAGTCGTAGCTTGTCTGAAACCTTAACCGCTGTTATCGGTCATTAAACAGACTAAACATGTCCAGTGATAGAAATACACTTGTTATTGTCCTACTGTAGAGGTCCACAAGGAATACACCCTTTAAGCACTAACTGCCATGACGCACGACTCTTCATGCGTTTCGGTCAACCTCAAACCATAGTGTGACCAAAGCAAATGATAGCAATATTATCCCAATGAGAATCCCGAAACTAAGATTCCCCCTGGCGCTCCCCAGCATTCTTCCGTTACCGTTATAAACGTGCGTTAATTAGCTTATACTAAGGCGACCTACACTTAACGGATTAGGAGGGCGTCATTAAAAACAGGTAGTAAGAAAGTAAGCACTTCTTTGGTCCGCAGCTCGACAGTTAATAATGCATGTCTCCCAGTTCAATTCCTCATTGTCAGTGCGGGGTTTATACTCCCGAAATCAGTCATCAACTTATTGCACCACTGTAGTTAGTAGAGTCAACCACTGCCATGTCCGCGACTGTCATCTGCAGTGCACACAACCCTTATTTTCCCCCTTTGTATTCCAGACCGTTGCTTCAGTCCGCCTCTAGTGCTGTCACCACAAGCTGATCCGCAAGCGAGTCCCGCCAAATGAACGCAGAGAGTTGCACCTGGACTTCGCAGTATCATCGATCTAGAGGCTGTGTCTAACACAACTTTCTCAATCATGGCATGGAAGCATTTCGGAAGCGCGTGCGGTGGGGGGCTGGACTAAATCTTTTCTTTGACTGCTCGGTTCTTTCTCAGTGTCCAGTTCAGCTTCTGTCCTGCTTAAACCATCTGTTGTTCCTTGTGTGAAGCTCTCATGCCATTTCTCGTGTGTTTAGTACGAGCCAACGACATTGTTTTAGTGATGGAATGATTCGGAGGGATTGTACCAAGGTTTGCCGCAGTGGTTAACTGGATACTTTCGTGTGTTTATCATGTTCGGAGAGATGTATCGCGGGAGCCTAAACCTGTGTGTTTTGTTTGGATACATCTTATTCTTTAATTCCTTTATCGCCACCCGGAGTAGCATTATAGTAAACTACACTGTGTTTAGTCACCAGCCGGGCATGGACGACCATAACTCCACCGTCAGATGGGTGGATGGCGTGTCCTCTGCTGCACTGCCCGAACCGACCACCCAGCCGGAACTAGATGTTGTGGAACAGTTTCTGGAGGTTGTTGAGCAATACCAAACTGGAAAAGAAAACTGCACCCCAGGAACTCATTATAACCTCGGAAAGGGAGTTATCAGACAGTACGGTCTTAAACGGTTCAAACGACAAGCCATGGTGGCAGTAAACCGAGCTAACTTTCTCACAAGAATATGGATGCAGGCAGCGGATGCCGTGACTAGGTCTGAGTATCTGTTTTACACGCAGGTGAGATCCATGGTTGAAGGTGATCCCGATATTTTTGCAGCAGGAAATTGTTACGATAACTTCGAGTTTAAGAACTACCACCTGTTTTGCCCCTTTGCATATCGGACGGAGAATGGGCAAGTTAACGTCAAGGACTTGTCAGTTGAGTATGACTACCTGGATAACAGCTCCGAGTGGTTCTACTCCGCCAGGATGAAGGCGGGCATGGTAGAGAACTTCAATTATACTTATGGTAAGTACATAGTTTCCTTACTGTAACCTACCGAGTTTGCTGTTGAGATCACCTCTACCAATAACACCAGCGTTGATGGCAGTGCCATTGACAATAATGCTGACGTTTGCATTTATCAACTTTGGTGTTGAATAGTGTGTAGTTTAACCACAAAAAACACATTAACAACAAGCATAAGCTGGTATTGCTGAAAAACTCTGATATTTGTCAATTACTGGTGAATAGAATGCGACAGCTTGAACGGCGTTTTACAACAACAATGGTCACAATGCAGGAAATGGATTGCGAAGTGAATGTCAACTCGTGTCAATCTTCGACATAAAAAGAACAAATATTGCGGACATAAATATTTTTCAAACTCTCTTGGCATATTTGTATAAGGTGTAATGTGATGCCAATTCTGTTACATACAAATACAGAATTGTCTTCCTAGTGCGGCACATTGCAATGGTACTGGTTCGTATAATGCTGAAGCGTATTAAAATGTCATTCCGTACAATCCAACATATTCTAAAAATTCAAATTGATTTGCTGGAAATGCATACCTAATAACCAAAAAATGTAGTTATTAATATATTCATGACTATTGCAACACACTGGTTCAATGATCACGAATTGCTTCATGAAAACATGAACTACTTTCTTCGGAAGTGTCCTATTCATTGTTGAAAAGAACTAATGACATTCATTAGAAATAGAATTTATACCACAGATCAGTCAGGTTTAACGACACCAAAGGTTTCAATCATCATGATGTATATTCATAAGAAACATATCGTGTAGGGATCAACAGACACTTGATCGCAAGCTTGTGGAACATTAAACCGCAGGTACCTATGTTTTTCAAGTAGTAAGGTAGAAATCGATTGAAGAATTCAGGGGAATAATGACTCTATTTCTTTTACATTACAATCTATATTCCATTAACAATCACTTATTTCCGTCCTATGCATAATATACTTGAGGGAATGTCAAAGCAATTCTGTGGCGATAGAAGACATTCAGAAGATCACGTTCTGAAAGGGTTTTTTCAATGACGTACATACATATTTCTTTCGTCTTTTGATGTTTTATGTTTCTCCTAAACCATATCTTTCTTAAAAAGAAAGATGGTGTCCATGTTATACACAAGGCATCATACAGAAGTCCACAGATAACTCATTTCCTCATCATATTGGGGATACTTTTAAAGGCAGAATGTCTGACTTGGATTAAATAACCAATACATAACGTTATTAGCCTTTTCAAGAACGAGAAAAGAACATTCAGATTATTTACGACTGTTCTCGAATCTGGAAAGCTCCAAATGTACATCTAGGTTTGCCGTGATGTTGAGAGAGGATCGATCATTTATCGGACTGACATTAGTACCGCGTTGGTCCTTGAGAATCTCAGAGAATTCTTTCATTGCGTGGCAGGGAGGGCATTGTTTCATAGAGAATCGAATATTGTTCAACAAGTTTGTCAAGGTAAACACGAAATGACAGGAGTGCCTCAACGCCGGGTTGTTTCCCACGTGACCGGTCGTAATAGGTTTAACTCGCTCAAAGGTTACCTTTGTTAAGAATCGTAATTCAGATGAGAAGAGTTAAGACTATACAATGGAGCACAAATCGACTTCTGTGTCCAAGGATTTGTGGCTTCGTGCAATTCTGAAGGAAAAATAGTTTGGAATATTGACCTTAATATTTCGAGTACTTTCTCAATTCGTCTCTTTTATTGTAACGTCTGTAAGTGCTTCTAGTTCCATGACTTCTTTTGAAGGCATATCTAGATGAGGAATATGGTCTCTGATATATAGTAGTGTACTGATTACTAACCAACGTTATGCCATTAGATGTTCAAGCATCCAGCTATTTGCAAAATAAAATGGTATTTGTGACACCTACCAATATGTCGATACATTTATAGTCGATAAATGGACACTTATTCTTATTTCTCATTCTCACCACCTTATTACTATCATTACTACAAGTAATCAGTAATCATAGGCGTCTTATTTCACAATACAATTAGTTCAACATCTCTTCAAAGAACAATGGTACATCAAAGGCATGTTATATCATTATACAGTTGTGAATAATTGATTCAATTCAATGTTATTAATTTCTCACCATTGGTATTTTGACATCTTGGTATTACGTCTTAAAGAGATATTCAAGACAGACCTATATTGGTAGATGTGTGAACAAGGAGTGGAAATAGACATTGTTCTTTCCGTATCCATCTCACATCAGTCTTCATGTGATGTTCATCGTCGTTGATCATGATGTGTAGTTTTTCAATTGCGCGACTCGGGAAAGATAATACAAAGATCTATTATTGTAAAAGGCAATTCAAATACTATGGAACACTTAATGACAGTTATTTAGTTGTCTTAATGGATGGTTTGATAGATGGTCCGTTTATATGATTTTCACAGCTATTTTGCCCTTAACGCCAAATGGAATCTGTTTCGGCGGATGATCAAGACTGGTTATTCTCGTGCACTGACATTATATGTTTACAAAGAGTAAAATGTCTGAGAACACGCTCTGTAGCAAGACTTGCTATTATCAGAACATGTTGTCAAGTCCAGACATATAAGCAACCAAGATCATATTACTGGCTAATATTTAATAAAAAATAATTCATTACCTAAAGGTATACAATATTAAGAAGTATCAATTCAGCATGGCACGTGATCCGCCACATGAAAACAACAATTAGAGAAAACTTTTATTTCCAAAGACGTAACTATAGATAAAGTCATCCTTATCTTCAAAGGTTCGGGAAAACGTGCCAGATATGAAAGCAATTGTATCCTGTAGTTTACTGAGAAAGAATACGTAAAATACTAGAACAAGGGCAACAATTGTGCCTCCCTCTTGTTGTTTCTTCATGCACATGAGTCAGAATCCCTTCTCGGATTGGCGACATAAAAACGAGGGAATTTGGCCAAGAAGTATAACTTTACGCTTCACGTATATTGATGATGTGATATGGTTCAATAATGGTCAAATAGTCAATTCCTTGCCCCTGATTTAGACAAAAAGAGACCTGTGAAAACGTCTCATCTGTTTCATATTTGGATCTATGCATAACAAGTCAGAGTGAGAAAACGCTCACCACAAGAGTGTATTTCCAATAGTCAACTTTCTCTTTAAATGTCGAGTAATATTACTCCAGCTCCAGGCTTTGGTGTCTACAATTCAAAACATTTGAGGTACAATTGATTATGCTCTTACCCTTCGAATTACAAAGGCAGTCATGCGAATCTGGCTCAAATATTGTCTGATCATGGTGACAACATTCGAGGCATAAAAATGTGTTATGTGTGGAGGACATTTCCAGATGTGAGACATCGGTTATACTTTGTCCGATGCAATTACCTATTTTGATTTGTATATGTTCCAGTGTTTTGTCATGTGACAATTGACTTGCCTTTGCTCATGTTTGTGACGGTGCCACTATTGGACAGGATGCAGGATGCGAACACCTGGTATCATCACTATTTGATAGTAATTCATAAACACATGCTCATGATATAGTCGGAATCGTACAGTGCACTACATAGATTGTATCATCATGGAAAGAGTTCCGTCACTTTTATTGACCAAAACATGTACCTACATAATATCTCTGTAGCTATGTGTTATGCATATAAAATTTCACCCTACGAATTGTGCTCCTTCTTTGTCGCACAAAGATCACTTCGTTGAGCATTGATATTTGCAAAGAGTTCAAATGTCATATAGCACTGTGTTTACTTGTGGTTACATGAATTAAAAATGAAATGATTTCACCGATCTAATATTGTTACATTATTCGGTTGTCATAGAAATCTGGTGCCACAGCTTGTCCGAGAATGTTCAGGCTAATTGACACGGGACATTATAATTACGTTTATTACGTGTAAACCAAGTGGATCCTCAGTTCCTGTTGAGAACATGACTCTTAAAGGAGTCTTTCAATTATTCAGCATATTAATGTTTCGCGAATCTTCGGTGCATCGGCTCGTCTCCATGAGCTTGAACAGAATGTCTCTGATATTGACAAAGCTAATTTGTCGTTTTTAGTCGCAAAGTCGTCTCTTGTGACAAGTTACACGTGGCTGGAATCCAACGTCTTGCTTCTTCTGACACTGAAACAGACGGTTAGTTAGCCTGGCATCATGATGTTGAAGGGACGAGTATCTAAATACCATCTGTCAAGCACACACTGTAATGTTGTCATATAGATGTCAGTGTGACAATGATTTCAAGAAAAGGAAGAGATATTACCATTATATTTATATCCATTGACGTTGATGAAGAATGGGCCAAACAAGTGAATATTGACAAAGCAAATTTTATTGAGGTCAGGATTTTGAAAAAGGTTAAACCTATTCAAATGCATCTTCACTCTGAATATGAATACGTTCAATTATGATAAAGATTGCTTGCACTTGAGTCGCTGCAAATCAAGTTTTTTTCCATATCTTCGTGAGAATCCTTTACTTCCATTTCATGGGAAGATTACTTCCAGGCAGATGGTTTAAGGTTTCAAACATTTATTCGTTGACATTGTGTACGATCAACACCAAGACTACACCTAATTCTATCCGTCATTGACATGCGACAGTTTCGGATGTTTTTTTGTGTAATAAAATGTGTTTTCTTGTAATTCGACGCCGCGGGAACCTGTTTAGTGCCCGCTGCCATATCAAACCGTAATACATGGTGTAGCGATAATGGTCGAGGAATGTAATGATGATTCTCTTAAGCTTCCAATTGATGAGATGACCATGGGGACGGCTACAATCTGGAGTGTTGCATCCTTGCCTTTGATAGTCCATCTATACAGCAAGCATCATTAACACGTGTTGTTCACAGCGGCTTTTGGGCGCCACAAATCGCTGTGCAGAGATGCGTCACTCAGCTGTTGGGGTCTACTATAAATTTGTTCGAATTCCAACGACATTGATGTCGTCGTTGGTATTTTATCGTTGGGCGACACTGGTCCAAGACATTATACCAATT